TCTTCAGAGTCACAGAGTCCGGCCAGTCAGGATGAGACTCACGGTTCTAGAGAGGTTTGCCACAAAGGTGAGTGCTCTCCTCCTAGGCACTGTACACACCAGGAATTGCAAACTGTCCGATGATTATCAACTGATAATAGGTGATCATTGCTGGAAGTAGTGAAGATTTAGAAGCATTTATTAAAAAAGTAAAATTTGAGATTGAAAAAAATCAATAATTTATTTGTCATTTTTTTTGGTCAGGATCTCAAGTAGCCAGAACCGATATTAACTGTGCTGTGTAGCAAAAAGTGGCCCAGAATCCTTGATTATCCCAGCTCAGCCAATCAAATGATGGGATTACAGTTGTGAGCCAACGAGCCAGCCTTGAATACATTTTTATAAATTTGAGAAAGCATCAGCTTTTAATTAATATTATCAAATTATGATTTAAAGTATAAGGTCTTTAGAAATGAACTACATTCTGAGGAAACATCAAATTTTCTAAAGAAGTAAAATCTTAAAGAAATGAAAAGTATAGCTGGATAGAGGAGGTACACACCTTTAGTCCCAGACCTAAGGAGGCAGAAGCAGGCGGATCTCTGTGAATTTGATGTCAGGCTGGTCTACAAGAGCTTTCTCTAGGACAGGCTCCAATGCTATAGAGAAACCCAGTCGTGCAAAAATAAAACAAAACAAAACAAAAAAAAAGAAAAGTATGTGTTAAAAGCCTATCTCTTTCTAAACAAGATATTCCAATGCCATTATCAGCATCGACAGTCAGTTCAGAAGGGACGTCAAAGTCATTACTCTCATTCCCTTGTCCTTCAAATATTGTCCCATTTAATGTCTAAACTGAAAGCTTCTGCTGTGTTAGTGTGGTGATAATAAGATGCGGGACCATAGAACCCAAGACCTTAAGTAACAAGGGTAGATAGCTTATTTTCTGAGAAATACATAATTGATAGAAAGGAAAAGAGCCGACTTCTAGGATTTTTTTTTTAAGCTGGAACTTTATAGAGTTCAGAATTTTTAGACTGGCTACCAGGTTTTTAAAGTTTGTCAGGACTGATCTTTCCTTCCTCTTCATGCTGAGTTGTGATCTCTTTAGTGGGCTGCTAATTACAGTTTGGAATTTTGTACCTGCATCATGCTTATGCCTTCAGTGCTTTGTAAGATGAACAAACTGTGCACCTGGAAGAGGCAGTTCAAGCTGTCATTCCACTACCTAGAGACTGAGTCAGGAAGACTGAGAGTTCAAGGCTAAATGGGCAAAACTTATCTAAACTCCTAGAGAACTGCTTCTATACATAGGAAATAAGCAGAATAGTTGTCTGCCATCTAGAAATCTAAAACTTAAACTATATAGAACTCATTAAAATTTATTAAATATATAAAATAAAGGGTTTCTTAGGACATGTGGATACAAGTAAATATAATTTACTGATCGTCTTTATTCATTATTATTATATCCCATTCCCATTTCTCTGTTACCCTTCAGTTCCTCCTAATGCTCCTACTTTGATTTATTGTCTTTATTGTTTCCTTTCCCTTTAATTTTTAGTAATATGTTTACATGAGTTTATATATTCAATATGACATTCCATTTATTACTGTTCACATGCATGTATTTTAGAGCTGATCACTTGGTATTAGATATCCAATTATGGGGTCAATCCTAGAAGAGATTTATTTTTCTCTATCACCTGTCATCAATTGGCTGGGATCATGTAAATCTTTTCCCTGTCCATATTGGCATGTTCTCTGTGGTTTGGGTTGGGCTAGTCTTGCTTAGTTTATGCTATTTTTGAGATTGCTGAAAGTACCCTCCCTGTCTTGAGTCTCTGTTATTTTACAATCTTTAGTTCTCTCTTCTGAGCTGTTCCCTGAACATTAGGTGTAGGAGTTAGTTTGTATTTTGGAATTTTGACTAAAACATTAGAGTTTATCATCCCTTTGTCATATGAAGCTCCAGATTATGGCTACTGGTGAGTCATCGGATGGTCCTGGAGATAATTCTCTTACCAATTTTGATGTCTTTAGAGTTATCTCTTACAATCTCCTTACATCTCATTGCAGTGGCTCTTGGGATCCTTTGCATACTTCTGATGACGGCAATCGCACTGTGGCTGACATACAGTGAGTAATTCGCATACATCATTTTTCTAGGCAGTGCCAATAGGCACTAATTATGGAACAAAGATCATACTTTGTCCATTATTTTGTCTGTCATCAGGTGACATCCCAGGTGGCCCAGAATTTTAAGGTTTTTTTTTTCCCCTGGACTCCTGAACCCTTGGACATTACAATGACTCTGGGGCTGCTTGTCTTACTCATAATAATATTCCCTGTGATAACATGTGTATTGCTGTTATTCTGATTTCTGCTTCAGTGATTATGAATCTTACATAGACATCCTGTAAAAAGTAGCAGTACAAAATTAATTACGTTGTTTTGTGGATTTCTTTCACAATCCTATATCAAGGACATGGTTAAGTGAAAAGATGGAATCTGTACACAGAAGTTAGAAGTTCTAGAACTTCAGCTTTACCTTTTGTTTGATGTCCTCACATCCTTAGAGAAAACCACTAATGGGCTAATCTCCAACAAAGCTGCAAATCTGCATGATTGTCTCTTTTCCTGTGGGTACTCCATCTGCTCTAATGATAACTGCGGTGTTACTTCATGTTTCTTAGTTCAAATTTCCAAACTGTTTTGTTTCTCTGACAATTTTACTTAAATATTTATTTGTAAGTTTTTTTCTACAAAACTGAAGTAATCAGAACATAAGGTGCTTGCATCATAATATTTTTTAGCTATTTTATCTATTTTACACTGAAGCTGCCAATTGTGTTAAGTTCATGTTTCCATTCTTGTAGTGAGTTAAATGAAGAGTTGCTTTTTATGTTTCAAAATAGCAGTTAAAGTAATAATATGAATTTCCTGTCAACTTGAAGATTTTCTCTAACCTTGAATTTCAATATTTACTCATTATAAGCATATTTTTGTATTACACCTACTACTAAGTTTTGTTTTTCAGTATAGCAAAGAAAAACATCAACTGGAAAAAACTCTAAACAACCTCACTCTAATGTATCAAACCATGGAAAAGGACAGATACTTAATGAAAAAATGCTGAGAAATAAACCTAGAGAGTGTGATGACCTCAAACATCAAAAGGAACTAGAGTCCCTCAACATAGAATGAAACAAATGCTGTAGGGAAGATAAATTTTGTTTGTTGGTTTTTTGTTGTTTTTTTTTTGTTTGTTTTGTTTTGTTTTGTTTTTGTATTGCATAAGGCACACAGGCAATGAGGGGATCTTGAAAAAGGAAATGCATTTTTCTGTATTGTTTTTTTTCTCCAGAAGCTTTGAAGTCCAGTTAGCAACTTATGAGGTTGATAATCTGTGGCTTAATAGTTGGGCTTCCTTATTTCATGCAGGGGCCTGAAATCTTGGAAACTCCTATTTGGATTAGGACAATCTTACAGTTTCTAGAACCCAGTGGCTATTCTTTCTTCTACTGCTTCCAGGAAATAGATTTACAATTTAGAACCCCTGAAAATTAACGCTTTGGTTTATGAGCAAATGCAAGTCTCCAACTTTGTTCTTGAAGAACATGGAATTTTACAGTAAGAGTATATTTACCAGAAATTTAAAATTTACTATGAAATAGAATAAGGTATTTGAATTATTACAGTAATAAATAGAAGTGTGTGTGTGTGTTTCCTCAGTAGTTGTTATCAAATATGTTGCCAGTTTGTGACCCGGCCGTACTTCCTGCAAGCACGTGGGAACTATATAATGGTGCCCACACTCATGTACTTCTGCTAGGGATCCCACTAGTAACACGAAAAGAATTAAAATGTTATGTGCTGTGAGAAACCTTCCTTACCGTGCATTATGACTGGTTTTTGTTAATTAACTGCTTATCAATTATTGTGAACATTCATTCAGGTTTTAATGTTCACCAAGAGCTTTTGCATATGGTCTCTACTCACAATAGGAGTGCAGATTCTCATTGTTCAAGGACAAATAATATTTTAACCTAATGAATTAAAATATATGAAAGAAATAAAAGCATAAAAAATCTTTGAAACATTCCAAACAAATAAAATATGTTTTATGTTATGATTTTAAAATAAAATAACTATAACTCCCAATCATAGCACCATTCTGTAATGCTTTTGATTAGAAGGCCAAGGCTGGAGGATTTTATATTTGAAGACAGTCTGGGCAGCCCAGCAAATTCCAAGAAAGCCTGAGCTACACAGTAATAACACTCCACAGAACAAAGGTCAGAGACAAAGTTTATTAATAGAGCAAGGCCAACTCCAATACTTCACAAAACAATCATATTGAATTGTTATTGCTATTCAAACTTCAAGCATTTTAATGTATTTAACTTGACATGCTTGGGGATATGGGTGAGCAATGGAAGACATCTCTACAGTCACCAAAAAAGTGCATCACCTTCAAAAGCTTCCTTGTGAGTCTCTTTCTTGTTGTCTTAAGGAAAGAGCATTTAAAACAGACCCCAGCACTACTCTGAGAGCACAATCACTTTTGAACTACTGTGGGCTCTGTTCATTAATGGAGCTCTAGCACTGTGTCCTACATGTAATGGCCTCAGAGCAGCAAATGTTCATTTCCCACCCACCAAGCTCCTGGGATCTTCAAAGCTTCTGCTTCTTGAACCTAGCACTGAAGCTCATTTGAGTGGAATCATAAAGTATGGTCGTGGGCCAGGAATATTTCACTTTGCATCCTCGAATCCATCCAGGCTTCTATGACAAACTTTCTTGTAGATTTCTGAGAAAGGGAGGATAATGAGAAGACACTGGTGTCTCTTCAGTAATTTAATATGCTCATGGCAGATGCTGTATCCTGACACTAACTGAACAGCAGACAGGAGTCTCTTGGAAGATTATTACTGAACTGTTGGTCACTTAGGTCAGGATTTCTCTTTGGGGGCATTAGATGTGAGAAATGTTTTAATTCCATAGTCAAGGCTCATGGTATAGCCAAGGCTGGCCTAGAATTTACTTATTAGTCAAGGATGGCCTCAAACTGTTGGTGATTTTCCTGCCTTAGCCTATGGATTTCCAGGCTTATAGGCACAAACTACCATGCCTGGTCATTTTACTTTTCTTTAAAAGATATAGAGTATTCCTTTGTTTGTATGTGCTATGATTTCTCTGATTCATCTATAATGGATTCATAAGTTGTTCCCCATATTGCTATTATAAATATTGCTACATAGAACATGAGTATGTATGGGGTCTCTCAACCTTCTACAATCTCTATTTCTGAGAGCTGTGAGATTTTACTTAGTTACATATCTTTAATAAATACATTATTCTAATAACAGAATACCAGAGAATAAGAGGTTTAACTATTCAGCTTCTCTGTTGTAGACAAAGATGTTGAAAGACACTGGTTCTGCTGTTACATAAAATGTTATTTCATCATGGACATTGAACACTGGATTGGATGTAAACAGACCTGCCAGGACTGCAGCTTGTCCCTTTTGAAGTCAGATGATGAGGATAAACTAGTACTGTAGACTCTTACTTGTCACTTATTATCCTAGACTCTGTTGTTACCCTTGGATAGTGAGGTACTGAGTGCAGGTAATTTTTTGAAAGTAAGACCTCCAAGGGTTGTATATGGTTTACCAATAATGTGAGCAAAACAATGCAGTAAGAGTCTCCAAGGAAATTCATTTCTGTTCCTGGCTGGCTCAGGACACAGGGTCTTTTACAAAGAGACTTGATATTTAAGAGACAATTGTGATTTTGCAATCTCCTCCCTTTCTTAAGAATCTGTAAAAGGGTGACTCACAGAAGCAAGTTTTCCCTGAATAATTTTAATCCTTTAGTATAGAATATCCAGAGACTGACATCTGTTTATTTCCACAGAGTGCCAACTACACTTGCCTGGAGCATTGGTCTTACTCCTTGAAATCCAGAAGTGAGACTGCCTGAAATGAGCAGTTGGATAACAATAGAGAAACTAACTGACTTCTGGGCCCATTTGAAAAAGGAAAATTATCTAAAAACCGTAAAATAAGTGGTTGTAACCAGTTGGCCCCATGGTGATTTTCACTGAATCTGCCCACAATATTAGCTTCATAATATTCATATCTTTCAAAACTGGTATCTATCTTTGGAAATGATTATTTAAAAGAAATCAAATGGTCAATTCCTGACATTGTCTGTTTACATTTATTATGAAAGAAATGTATCAAAATACATAGAAGGTATTTTTATAGAAAAATGATTGCAGAATCAGCTTGAAACCTTTATCATTTAGAGCACGATGCATAATTTAAACAAATTTATTTACATGTTTGAACAATTACAGCATAAAATGTACTTCCATATTATGTAATTATATACTTTTCTATTTGTTAGAGAAAACATAGTTAAATTCAAATTCATATGCCAAAATATATTTAGTAATTTTAGTAGTCATCATTCTATTGGGATATCATATATAACGTACATTATAATACTTCCAAATATCTTCCCCTCTGTGTTGAAAGGAGTCCACTTGTTTGTTTTCTGGCTGTTCAGCCCCAAACTAACAAAACAGGAACTATATTATTTTAATCACTGCGTGCCCTATTAGGTGTAGCTTCCCATTGACTAACTCCTGCATATTAATTTAACCCATTTCTAGTAATCTGTGTATTGACATGTGGCTGTGGCTTACCAGGTAAAGTTCTGACTGGCTTCTGTCTCTGGCTGGGATACATGGCTTCTTTCAAATCTGCCTCCCTTTTCCCAGCAATCAGTTTAGTTTTCCCCTCTTATCTACACTATCAGGCCAAACCAGTTTCATATTTACCACTGGAATTCACAGCATACAGAGGGAATCCCACAAGACCTCTCCTCATCAAGTTCTGCCACTTCCAAGTCTGAACTAAAGAATGGCTTCCTCTCTGGATCATGGAGTTTAATGCACAGCTCTTCACATAGAAATTTTCAACTTCTAAAAAAATTGTTTATTTACCTCCTGTCTGCTATTTCCCCTCCTACTTCTCCTCCCAGCCACACCTGCTCTTTTCTGACCCCAACCCCCATGAATGCCTACTGCTTTCCCATTCAGAAAAGAGTCCGCTTCCCATGAATATTAACAAAAAATGGACATATGAAGTCATATCAAGTTGTAGTAAGACCAAACACTTACCCCTGAATTAAGGTTTGAAAGTGTGACCCAACATGAGGGATAGCATCCCAAAAGCCAACAAAAGAATAAGAGGCAGCCGTTACTGTTTCTTGTGAAA